TTTAGCCTGGAGAAGAGGAGGTCAAGGGGTGATATGATAGCCATGTTCAAATATATAAAAGGATGTCACATAGAGGAGGGAGAAAGGTTGTTTTCTGCTGCTCCAGAGAAGCGGACACGGAGCAATGGATCCAAACTACAAGAAAGAAGATTCCACCTAAACATTAGGAAGAACTTCCTGACAGTAAGAGCTGTTCGACAGTGGAATTTGCTGCCAAGGAGTGTGGTGGAGTCTCCTTCTTTGGAGGTCTTTAAGCAGAGGCTTGACAACCATATGTCAGGAGTGCTCTGATGGTGTTTTCTGCTTGGCAGGGGGTTGGACTCGATGGCCCTTGTGGTCTCTTCCAACTCTATGATTCTATGATTCTATGATTCCTGAACTACAACTTGCATCATCCTTGACCCTTGGCCATGATGCCTGGGGTTGACAGGAGTTGGAGCCCAACAACATCTAGAGGGCCACATGTTCCTTTAATTCTGTCCTAATGTGTGCTTCCATCTTGGATTGTGCTCTATGCCCAGTACAGGCTCCACACATACCTGGTAGTATTATAACAAGGAGGGAGAAAGGTGTTTATTCTGTTCAGCATGGCCCATTCTTGAGCATTCATCTAGTTGTGTCAATGGATATGGGTAGGACCTGAGTGTAGGATTCTGTGGAGGTTGAAAGGAGTAGTTGTGGGAAATTCAACACCATTTTAACCAACATGCTTAGTTCTAGTTAATACATGAAGGAGTTAAGACCATAGAGTAAGCTATTCTCCTAGACTTAACTAGATCACATCCTCTCACCTGGGAAGGAAGTAAGTCAGGTTTTCTTGTTCACTCTTTTCCACCATGTGAACCCAAGCAGATATGATGTGTGAGCTTGATTGCTATAATCTCAGACCACGTGTTCAGAAGCTTTTCACCATATTCTACAACACAATATTTCTGCCTGTATTTTCTTGCTGCTGTATGGAAAAATGCATGAATCTGACCTTTGAAAAGTTTGTAATTAAGAACAATTTTAACTTACCAAACTGTATTTTTTTCTGTAGAAAGGGGAAGCACTGTTAAGTGACTTAAAGTGGAACATTTAACAGGTCTAACAGCCTATACAGTGGTACCTCGGGTTACATATGCTTCAGGTTACAGACTCTGTTAACCCAGAAATAGTACCTCAGGTTAAGAACTTTGCTTCAGGATGAGAACAGAAATTGTGCAGTGGCGGCGCAGTGGCAGCAGCAGCAGGCCCCATTAGCTAAAGTGGTGCTTCAGGTTAAGAACAGTTTCAGGTTAAGTACGGATCTCCGGAATAAATTAAGTACTTAACCCGAGGTACCACTGTAGTCCCATGCTTTCCTTTGCTGCATGTTTTGTATTTTAAAACCTCTGCCAGGGATCTCTGTTACTGGAGAGTATTCTGCCCCACGTAAATGAATTCTTCTTTATTTAACCAAATAACCAAGAGAAGCAAGCTCTGCTTATGTGTGTTTAGCCCAATTCTAATAACATCTTTTGTATGTGATATTCCTTTATCTGCATGCGTGCTTGATCTCTAACCTGCCATTTCCATCATTCTCTGCAAAGTTGCTCAAAATATTGTCACAAAACTCCACAGGATGTTGGATACAGGCTCAATGGGGCTGTTTCATTGTTAATTCATTTGGTTATGAGGGGGAAAAAATATCTAAAGCAAGGGGGAGACATACTGCTTTATAAATTAGACAAATGTGAAGCATGTTAACCAGAAAGGATTTGTTTTCTCTAATGCTTTTTTAAAATAGCTTATTTGACTACTGGTACATGGATGTATGCATATTTTAAACACTGTGTTACCAGCTGATGAACAAATCCAGTGTTCTAGCATCCCAGGAGATGGGTACTTTGCACTTTGGGTGATGTTATTTGTAGCTTACCCTTGCTTCTTCTGCTCAGGCAAACAGCCCACCATGAAACTGGCTAATTTTCATACAATCTATTGCAGGCAAAGCCAACATGGCGCCCTCCAAAGATGGTTGGTCTACAACTCCCACCAGCCTGGCCCATTGGCCCTGCTGGTTGTGCCTGATAGGAGTTGTAGTCCAACAACAGCAGACCAAAATAATCCCTGTCCATCAAATGCCTAGCTAGGGAAAAAGGTAAGCCTTAACCAGGTACCAAGATGTTAGTGAAGGCACCAGGTGTATCTCACCAGGGACAGCATTTCGCAGTTGTGGAGCCACCACTGAAAAGACCCTCTCCATTCTCAACACCTTTTGGTCTCCAAGCCTTCCTCAGAGGGGGAACCTGGAGAAGGGCCTCAGAAGATCAAAGGGTCCAGGTAGGTTCATATTGCAAGAGGTGTTCCAGAAGATATTGGAGTCCTGAGCACTCTAGGTCAAAACTAGCACTTTGAATGAATACAGTAGCTACCGAAAGAGTAGTGGGTGAAGTTAACACTGGGTGAAGAGTGCTGCAAGTTATTTGTCTTCAATTTTTTTTTTGTTTTTACCTCTTTGTTCTCATTAAATCCATTTAATCTGTATAGCATAGTCTTCTTTATGCATAAGCATAAGCACCTTCCACCAGGTGTCTGGAGTATTAATGCCAGTGGACAGAGTGGCAGGAATATTACCTAGCATGGTGGGAAGGGTTTTAGAGCAGCGCACTCACTACTTACCATTCTGATAGTTATGAATAAGTTATGTAAAAAGTAGGACCTGCATAAATACGTTGGAACACAGTGTGCTCCGGTACCCTGCTCCAATAAGCCACCCACATCCTCCTCCGTGATGCTCCATTACACCCCCCACACTCAACAATCCCTCAGAATTCCATGCCCACGGAGCATCTTTAGTCCTCATTAGGCTATTTTGCAGGTTTTTCCCCATCCGCTTAGATTTCCCTCCTAAAGCAGGGATGGGGAACTTCAGGCCAAATGAAGCCCCCGTTTGGCCCTTCATACCCCTCACCCCTCACCAGCCCTGCTTTGCATCCTCCTGGAGTGCCTTTACCCCAATAAAATTGGTCCTTGAACTCTTACAGTCCCTGGCTTGCTTGGATGGTGTGCGAGTGTGGTTGGAAATTAGCCTACTGTACAAAGGTAATAATAATGATATTTTATTATTTGTACTCTGCCCATCTGAATGGGCTGCCAGTAAACTTCGCATCTGATACACACACCCCTTTTGCCTCTGACTGTGCTCACTTTTGGCTCTGGCCCCACCCACCACCGACAAGTGGCCCCTGAAAGCATACCTGGAAGGGAATGTGGCCCTCAGGCTTAAAAGGTTTTTCCACCCCTGCCCACATTTTTTTTGTGTACTTCCTCTAAGCCTGCAGGTCTCCCCACCCCACCCCCCTGTGTATGTGATGCCATTTTGGTTGCACCAGCAACATCATTCCTCGTCTAAACATTGTGAATAGAGGGACTGATTTAAGGCATGTCATAGGAACATCAGAAGCTGCCTTATATCGAGTAACACAATTGATCCACCTAGTTCAGTACTGAATACACTGATTGGCCATGGGTCTCTAGGACTTTAGACAGGGTTCTCTCTCAGTCCCAACCTGGAGATGCTGGGGATTGAACCAAGATGAAATAGATGTGGTAAAAAAGAAAGAAAAAATACTAAATGTTTTGATATTTCAATTTAATACAAATGCACATCAAGGCTTCCCTAGAATCCCACTGAAGTGAAAAGGAGATTGGCATCCTCTGGATTTGGCTGGGTGCTCTTGTACATGTTTAATGTCAAGATTGTGAGTAGCTCTTTTGATACTAATGGCCCCAAAATGAATGATGTACTTAAAAGGTTTGTTACATCCTGTGCTGAGCCAAGCTCTCAAGGAAGTATTACCATAAATGACTTATGTCACTGCTGCTCATAAACCGTGCTTAGAATTACTGAGCTTTCCTTGAATGTGTACTCCACTTTCAAACCACTCCCTTTAATGCCTACAAGAACTTTGACTCAAGAGCAGAAGCTCGTTTCTTGTCAATTTTGTGCAGCAGGAGCTGCCAACGATTTTGGGCAACTTGGTACATTTGTGAATCTTGAGAAAGCGCTATGGATGTCAGTTACAAAATGGCTGCCACAGGAAGCACGGCATGACACAAAATGGCTACCATGGTGTGTAGCGTAACACAGAATGGCTGCTACATCTAATGAGAAGAAAACAAAACAGTGCAAGCTTGCCCCACCACCCCAGTCACCCAAAGTGCAGAAAGGCACCTACATCAACCACTGCCATTCTTCCTCAAGAAAGAAAAACTCTTTGGACTTCTCTTTTGTTCAGAATGGATGGGAGAATGAGTATCCATGAAATGTGGGAATGTTTAAAGGAGCTCATTCAATGCTGGGAGAGGCTGAACAGGAACTGAGTGGCAGATAGTTGGTCAACGTGTAATAGCAGGATCAGCATTGCCAAGATTGCAAGCAGGATCAGGGCACAGGTACTGAGCAACAGTAAAACCAGAAACACATTAAGAAGGAGCCAAAACTGGAGGCTAGTTTAGGAATCCATCCAATAGGTTTGAAGCAGAGATACGTAGGAGGAGAGGGATCAAACTGGTAAGCAAAGCCAGATTGAAGGGGGCAGGAATAAAGAGTGGAGCACAATAAGAAGACTGGTCCAGAAGTGGTCTGTAGAAGGAAATCCAGCCTTCCTTTTTCCTGAGGACATTAAAAGAACAAAAGCCAATCTTAAGTGAAGAGAGCTTAGCTAGAGTTGCTGGGCCCTAGATATCTTCACTGTCTCTTTAAATTTCCCAACACAGTGGGAGACAATTCAGCAGCTGCAGCTTCTGCCATCTGGTGGTCCTCTTCCCTCCCCACCAGTTGTGTTGCCCAGAAGGCAAAGGTGAAGAAAGAAGAAGACAGCAGAAGTAGGCAAGAGATGCTACAGTTGCATCAGGGAATAAAAGGGTGTGGGAAGGAATAGAGGATGCGGCCTGATACAGAAAAAGGCCATTGAGCTTTGTATTCTGTACACTGGTTAGCAACAGCTCTCTAGGGTTCTAGACAGGGAGGAGGGTTCCCAGCCCTATAAATAAATGCCAGGGATTGAACCTGGGTCCATCTGCACGTGAAGCAGATGCTCTTAGCACTGAGCAATCCAAAACACTGTGGAGAGTGACTGAATCCAAAAAGATAACAAAACAAGGTAAAGAAGAGAAACAAAGTGGCCCCTTATAAATAAAATGATACACGTGAAACAAATATTTAATACCATTGGTACAATATGTGAAGTTTCAGCATCAACATTCACAACATTACAGGATCCTGATATGAAAGTAGTACACTCATAAAAGGAAGGCCTCACATTCATTACTCAAACAAAACTCTAAATCTCTCTAGAGATGACACCAAACTATGGCAAGACTATCTGTCTTAACTCCAACAGGAGGCCTGCTTCAAAATGTATCTTCAAGGAGATCAAATGTTAAGTCAAAGTTGCTAGACATCCAGAAAGACACCAGACATTTTGGTATGCCTAAGTGAAAATACCTCTTTGAACAAATGGCAACTTGTCTGACTGAACTTCCGTTCCAGTTCTATACACTTAATGGGCAGGGGGGCACCATCTTGCCCTTCGTCTTAGGCCTGAAAATGACTTAAGCCCACCTGTTGCTCCACAGGTAAAGTAAATCCTATTTACAGCTAATAGCAGGCATAGGCAAAATTGGCCCTCCAGATGTTTTGGGACTACAACTCCCATCATCCCCAGCTAACAGGACCAGTGGTAAGGGATGATGGGAGTTGCAGTCCCAAAACATCTGGAGGGTCGAATTTGCCTATGCCTGGCTAATAGTCTTGTATAATGACAAGCCTTTGCTCTGCCTACTGAAGGTGTGGGGAACCTCTGGCCCACCAGATGTTGCTGAACAACTCCCATTAACCCCAACAAGCATAACCAATGGCAAGGGATGATGGAAGTTGTAGTTCAGCAACATCTGCAGGTCCAAAGGTTCCCCACACTGGGTCTATTGCCCTGCTGTTATTGAGAATGTAAGAAGATCTTAAACTGGAGAAGCCCATAGGCAGGGCCTGAGCACAACAACACCCCCACTTCCAGCGGTGGCTGCAATTGGTACTCAGAAGCACACTGCCTTCAACAGTGGGGGTAGAACATAGCCATCAGTTAGTCACAATGGATAGCCTTATCCTCCATGAACTTGCCTAATTCTCTTTTAAAGCCACCCAAGATGGTGGACATCACTGCCTCTTTTGGGAGTGAAGTCCATACTTTACCTAAAGCTTTCCACACCCTTTGGTGCCACAACCAATGAAACTGTGTCCATGGAGCTTTATTACGGGCTGGAAAACAGGCCCTCTGGTTCTAATTTCAAGGATTAGGCACATTAACATGGTTGGAAGTAATTCTAAAGATAACCTGTCCCCAAACAACTTATATTTCACCCCCTCCATGTAAACACTTCTTTAAAAATACAGAACAGTCATACCTTGGATCCCGAACGTCTTGGTACTTGGACGTTTTGGCTCCCAAATGCCACAAACCCAGAAGTGAGTGTTCTTTGGAACCCTTGTGGACCTCTCCTGCAGAAGCCTAGCAGTCAAAAAAAGGAATATGAAAGAGGAATGTCCCACCTATCGAGTACTGCTAGAATTTGTTGAAGAAAAGCCAATGCTGAAAAAATATGATAAAATTAAAAGCCACTTGACAGACTGGCTCCAATACTTTCAAATAAACCAAAGATTGAGTTTAGACAAGAGAGATGGTCCGGCAAAAGAAACATCCAAGTTTGAAAAAGAGCTAACTCACAATAAAGAAAAACATATTTCAGGAATATACAACTATTTATTAGAATGGGAAGTGAAAGAAGAGCACGTTAAAGTTGTAATGGTGAGATGGGTACAAGATCTTGGATATAATATCTATATGGAACAATGGGAAATATTATGGAGGAAGGATATAGAATTCACGGTGTGCTATAACGTGATGAACGTAATGAAAATGCTTTATAAATGGCACCACACTCCAGCAAAACTTGGTAAAATATATAAATCACCAAGCTGCTGGAGGTGCAAAAAAAAAAGAGACAGGGACATACACAAGTGGTAGAATTGCACAGTCATCCAGGAATTTTGGGACAAATTATATAATGAATTCAAAAAGTTATTCAGATTTACATTCAGAAAAAGACCAGAAGCCTTCCTCCTAGGAATAATGTCAGCAGAAATCAGAAAAGGTATAAGCCCATTGTTTATGTACGGAACAACAGCAGCCAGACTATTAGTGGCAAGAAGCAGGAAAAATGAAACAGCACCCACGATAATAGAACGGCAGATACTTATGATTGAATACCTCGAACGGGCAAAAATGTCGGGGAAAGTAAGAGGGCTCTCAAACCAGAAAGTATACAAAGAATGGAAAATATTCAAAGATTACCTAAAAACATATTGTCCAAATAATAATCTCCTTGCAGAATTAAACTGATCCTTGTAAAATACAATGTGCAAATGCTAATTCATTGGAGTACACGAAAACAAATTAGGGTAATAGAAGGCTGTGCGCTAAACGTAAATAATAATACAAGTACAATGAGAAGAATTGGAAGTATTTTATTTAGAAATTCAATGAATGATTGTATAATAATGCAAATTCTTGTTTTGTATGTTTTTATCCTTGTGTCCTTTTTCTTTTCTTGTCCTGATCTTTTCTTTTTTGTCTTTGTGTATGTATATATATTTGTGTTTTGATTCAATAAAGACGATTTTTTTTTAAAAAGGAACCCGAACGTCCAACGGGGCTCCAGCAGCTTCCAATGGGTGCAGGAGCTTCCTGTAGCCAATTGGAAGATGCGCTTTGGTTTCTGAACATTTTGGAAGTCGAATAGACTTCCAGAATGGATTCCAGAATGGACTGCCAAGGTACAACTGTAATTAGTGTATCACTGTATAATATTGGTGTGCAAGGCTAAAAAAAGCAGCTGCATCTGTTGACATTCCCTTTTCTGCATTACTGTTAATGACTCAGGAGCCCTACCACCTTAGACCTGGTCACCCTATGTGACTCTGGATCTCTCAGCTAGAACACTAGGCTGGTTACAGTACTTGGGAATGGAGGAAGAATGAAGCCATCGTTTTTATTTGTTGCCATGGCATAGATCACTAGATGGCACTGTGGCACACAGTCTTAACCAAATAGATATATGGATATATTTCTTGGTGTGTGTGTGTATGTGTTTTTGTGTGTGTGTGAATTCTGAAAAAACACACTGATGGCAGTGAGAAGTGTAGGTTAAGGGAGCTGACCTATAGCAAACAGCAAGCAGTTTTTCATAGAATAATTGCAACAGCAGGATGGGAGTCAGGCTTATATAACCCCAGAGGTCTTTCTGATTGCTTATGTCTTGGGAATAAACTGCTGAACACTCCCCAAATCCTGGACCCACACTGTGACTCATAAACATGTAAATTAATAACGTGCACTCTGGATGAAATACAGGAATGAAAGCTGCCACAAGACTGGGGTGGGGGTGACAGCATCAAGAGGGGGTCAGCAAATTTATTGAGGACTATCACTGGCTACTAGTCACAATGGCTTCATGCAGTCTTCATGTTGAAAGTCAGTAAATGTGACGGCGTACCAGCGGCTGGGGACCAAGAGTGGAAGAGGTCTATTGTCTTTGTGTCCTGCTCAGAGGCTTCATGGAGGCATCAGGTTGGCCAACAAGATCTAGATTTTGGTCTGATCCAGGAGGGCTCTTCAGAACAAAGCCCTGCAGTTCCTCTCTCAGGCATTCTACTCTTTCCTCTTTCTACTCCTCCAACTCTACTCCCCCAACTCTACTCCAGGCATTCTCCCATTCAATGTGTGGACTGAGCTCCCTCAAACCATCTGCAAAGCCAGTTCATACCCCTTGCTCCAAGTCCTGCATTAGGTAATTCTTACTGCTTCTCAAGCCTATTTCTCACTAAGGTGCTAAACCTGTGTCTGGGCTGCACCACTTCAGACAGCCAGGGCTGGGTAGGGGTAGTTCTTGCAACTGAATCTTAAATTCAGTATGCAAAACAACTCGCTCCACGTAGTAAGCTAACATATTAGGGAACAAGTAAGCTAGAGTCCTTCTCGTGGATATCTAGTTTTCAGGGTGGAGGGGTATTTTTGGACGGAGGGCCATTTAATGGCCTTGCTGAAGTGGTACAACCCAGATGCAGGTTTATCACCTAAGATGCTTCAATCCAGCTAAGCTGCTTTGCTTCCTATAATGCTGGCTGCTGTGCTCTTATTAAACTGTTTTTTTCTATATGTACACACTCACACAAGCACAAATGCAGGGTAAAAACTGGCCGTTGCTTGTCTGTCATCTCTCCCCGTGCTCCAGCTGTTGCCTGATATTCTGCCTGCTCAGGATGATGGTGTCAGCAACAGAATGTTGATGAACAGAATTCTGCCTGTGCAAATTCTGACACCAAGGTACTTTTGCGCAGGGACTCCAGTCATGCCTTGGAGCATCTCCAGGGAGAAGGAGCAACCTTCCTGAAGCTGCCTGAATGGTAGCTTGTAAGAGTTTTCTATTTGGTCTTGTCTACACATCTGCTTGAGCTGTGCCATTCACAAGCTGCCTCCCTCACATTAATGAGATGAATTGGATGATAGCCAGTTTCGATGGAAGACAACATTTTTCATTTTGCTTTAAAGGAAAGGAGGGGGAAAACCCCAAACAGAAACACACTGTAGGCTTATTGATCATACTTAATGCTCAATCTTCTGGGAAATTGCAAAAGAAACATAAGAAACCTGTAGGTATAGAAGCCAGCTTCCAATAATTCCTCCACGCTGCAGTGTGGCCAAGAAACAGAACACAGGTTGGAACCAACACAAGGTGCTGCGCAGGTAGGACTAGGCTTGATTCTCAATGGTTGAGGTCACTGGGGTCTCTTTTTATTTCTCCCATAGAAGTGAATAATTACTATTTAATCCCATGGGAAAAGCAAAGTTGGGGCTCTGCTGCAGCAAAGTCTGCCCTATATGCTGAAACTGGGTCTGCTGGCGCCCGCTGGCATAAACCCTGCAGGGGGTGCAGTGTTTCTCTGTGGGTGTTTCCAGACAGGTATTTATTGTGGAATTGGTGATCTTCATGCATGCATTTTATTTGATTTTTGCAGCATCCATATGGCATGGTTGGCATCAAAATGAGTCTGTTATTTCCCTCCCCATTTAATCCAGATTGGCCCTTCCCAGGGGCGGGGGGGGGGGATCCCATAAATTGCAATACCTGAAAAGTCCATTAACAATACTAAGCCCCTGTCTAAAAGCACCCTATGGTTGCAGAGTTGCAACCCACCCCCTCTCCTGTTGCTGCAGTATACAAAACATCCTTCACCCAACATAATGATGGAGTAGGGAACTCCCCCTCCCCCAAATTATTTGTACACTTCCTGCCCCCAACAACAACTTGTCAGATGTAGTGTTGCCATGTTCTAGGAGAGAATATTTTTCCTGGTGAGGATTAACTCATCATTGGTTACTTTGAAAGACAATTTATAGCCAACTGTTTCCCCCACCCCAATCACTGTATAGAATTTTGCATTCTTAAAGACACCCCCTTCTTTCTGATCATGTGAATTAATGAATAAGTATTTATCAACCGAATGGCTTGGTTGGCATGTAATAATAAACCAAACCATGCCTAAACACTAATGAGTGCATGGAGCAAAAATCATGGCCACTTCACTCCTCCCTTGGTTCTACTGCTGTTATGCTACCTAGAACTAATCCATGGTTTGACTTAGCATTATGTGTGACCCTGAGCTTGTGGGTTATCTCTACCACCAGGCAACCCACAAATGATAAACCATGAACAAACCTGGACTATGGCTCACACTGTGGAGCAGGCATAGGCAAACTCAGCCCTCCAGATGTTTTGGAACTACAACTCCCATGATGCCTAGCTAACAGGACCAGCGGTCAGGGATGATGGGAATTGTAGTCCCAAAACATCTGGAGGGCCGAGTTTGCCTATGTCTGCTTTGGAGTGAACTAAGCCAAACAGCTTAGCACAGAAGTAGCAGGACTGGGAGAGGAGAGAAGGAGTCGTTATTTTTCCTGAGTACCTACATGGTTCATGCATAGCCATGATTTGCCTTAGTGCTATGTGGAATTGAATGTGAAGCAACTGGCTATAAATCCGCAGCATTAACAGATTTGTCCAAAATTAGCAGAAAGAGAAAAGTACAACTAGCTTTAATTAAAACTTGTTAAATCGAACGAAACAATCATGACTATGAAATATCACTCCCCTTCCCCCACTTATACAGCCTGAGCCCATATTTGCCAAGGGTGAATAATCTCACCACTTATCTCTCACTCTCAGATAATCCAACCCACTAATTTAAATTCCTGTGAGAAACACTGTGATGGTGGCATGCCACTTATCAATATACAGTATACATGATTAGTCCACATCTTCCTGACAATTTTCAGTGGGAATTGAGCCAATTCAAACTTTCACATGCTCTGTGACAATAGAACACAGAAATATCATAGAAATATGAAGTAGAAATGTTCTGTGTCAACATTCAAGTTACAGCATTTACACCCGGGACACTACAGCTCAGGTTTTTTTCCAAGAGCCTTGGCTGCCGTCCAGCATGCAACTGGAAGAATGGAGTTTCATCAAGAGCTGGGACAACAGGTGAGAATCCATTGAGAACAGGACTGGAGTCTGCCAGCCAGATAGTTCATGACAATCATGGCTGAAGCAGCCCTTTTACACTACCTACACTGTCTCTTACTTTGTTCTTACCTTTGGCTCTTGTTGTCTTTCTTCTGTTCTTCATCCTAATGTTGAATGGCCTCCTTGGACAGTGGCCTCTGTTACTGGCTCAACTCTAGCAATTCATTCTGGCTCTAAATGACCTGCGACCTGCAATGTGTTTCTGTTTCGCAGAGTATGCAGATACATTGCATCCCCTATTATTTACTGAATCTATAAGCCACTCAAAGTGGCTTACAAAACAGGGGCCCTGAAATTTATCAGGCCCTCCTTCTACATACAAAATGCCCAAGAGCGAGTGGCAAGCATAGGAAGAGCCCTGCTGGATTAGCTCAAGGGTCCATCCAGTCCAGAACTGGAGGACCTTAGGCTTGGGGGCCAAAAGTGGCCCTCCAGGCCTTTCTGGCCCTCAAAAGTCTCTCCAGGCCACACTCTTCACCAACTCTGTTCTGTTCCGCCCCCCCCCATGTGCTTTTGCCTCCCTGGAATGTGTCTTAAAAACTGCAATAATCCTCTTGCTTGTTTGAATGGAGGGTGGGTGGGTGGAGAACTTCGTCTCCTTCATTGGAGGTTTTTAAGCAGAGGCTGGATGCCCACCTGTCATGTATGCTTTAATTGAGATTCCTGCATTGCAGGGGGTTGGACTAGATGATCCTCAGGACCTCTTCTAACTCTACAATTCTGATTCTAAGCAAGTGTGTGAGTATAGGTATAGAAACCCCTGGCTCTTGCATGGCTGGAATGTAGCCTACTGTACAAAGGTAAGAATCACTCCCCACATTTTTTGTCTCTGGCCTCACCTACCACTGGCATGTGGTTCCTTATAATGGCATGAGGCCCTTGAAAAAAATTCCCCATCCCTGATCTAGTCAACCCCCTGGCTTCTCACAGTGGCTAACTAGATGCCTCTAACAAGCTACACAAGCAGGACTTGAATCGTTCCCCAAAAGCTGGTATAAAAAGGTAAAGGGACCCCTGACTATTAGGTCCAGTCATGGCCGACTCTTGGGTTGCGGCGCTCATCTCACTTTATTGGCCAAGGGAGCTGGCTTACAGCTTCCAGGTCATGTGGCCAGCATGACTAAGCTGCTTCTGGTGAACCAGAGCAGCACACAGAAACACCGTTTACCTTCCTGCTGGAGCGGTACCTATTTATCTACTTGCACTTTGATGTGCTTTCGAACTGCTAGGTTGGCAGGAGCAGGGACTGAGCAACAGTTCACCCCATCACGGGGATTTGAACTGCCGACCTTCTGATCGGCAAGCCCTAGGCTCTGTGGTTTAACCCACAGCGCCACCCGCGTCCCAAAAGATGGTATACAGTGGCCCCCCAAAAGGTTCCATTCTTCTGAGCATATGCAAAATTCTTTTCCCTGCTTGGCTGAATAACCAGGACAATATCACACTCTTCTGAGACTGCAGGTAAAGGCTCCAAGCCAGAAGTAGAAGCAGAAGAAAGAGAAGTGCAACTTTCACTCTTGTTTGAGCTATAACATTTATCCTTAAAAATTAAGCAGAAAATGGAGAAACAGACAAACTGGGGAATGATACCAATAAGAATAGGAGAATAAAATACACCAGTAAAGGAGACTTTCACACAGAACTTTAAGGAAAGGGGAGGGGGATGTAATATTTCTGTTACCAATAAATATACCTTTGTTTCATAGGGATTTATGTTCTTTTCTTCCAGCTGCTCCATATTAGGAGAGGAAGCGGATGCCAGAGCGTTATTGAGAATGCCAGTCAAAAGAATGCCAGAATTATTCGGCACATTTTGTATAAAATGCTGGCCTGGAATATTAAGGGCAAAATCTAGAAAATTAGTTCCTATGATCAGGAAAAAAGAAGGCAGCTCAGGCCTGCCGCATCAGATGGCTGTGGGGTTTCTATGATGTAACAGCTCCTCTTGCTCACGGGGCTGGAAGTCGGAACTGTTCCATGGCATTTGCAAGAAAGCAGTGAGGGAAACAGGAGAGCGAGGGAAGCAGAGTAAATCTGGGCAGAGGTGGTACACAGCAGTTTCTCTAGAAAGGGGTAGAAAAGAAAATGAAGAATCTTTCATGCTATTGACTAAGTGCTGATATTTAAGAAATATGATATACTGTATATGGTGTCCTGCTTTCCTCTCCAAAAAGAATCTAAACAAGAAACATCAACCCAACCTTCATGCAAAACAAAAAGTAAAAAAGATCAGCAAATAACACAGCAGCAATTGGTTGCGGAAAGCTGCAGAATAAGAAGAATACACAGCAGCCCACAACTAGCTAACAGTTTCTGCTGAAAGCTCCCCAAATTGCCATGTTTTGGTCAGGGAATGGAATCTGCTCAAGGATGGGTCTAGGCAGGCCTCCCGAGGGGGCGCACGATGCCCAGCCAGTGACACAACAGAAATGGCCAACTCCTTCTGTCCGCACCAAGGGGCACGTTGAACAGGTCTTCTGGTGTTGATGGGAGTGCATGGGGGGGGGGAGGATAAATGGGGTGGAAAAGGCTGCCACAGTATACAGCGAAAAGTAGCGGGGCAAGTAGGCTGCAGGCACGCTATACCTTTGAAGCACATTTTCCCCTCCTCAAAGAATTCTGGTCCCTGTGGTTGGTTAAGGGTAGCTGGGAACGGTACTTTTTTGAGGGGCAAACTACAGTGGCCAGAATTCCCCGAGGGAAAGAGTGGGCTTCGAAGTGCGCACGCAGCCACTTGCCCTGTGCCGCTTCCTTTCCCACACAGCCCTTTATTTTCCTACCTCGCTTCCCTCTCCCACATCCTTGCTTCCCCGCACGTCGTTCCTTCCTCCCGCTCTAAAGGGCCCCCTTTCTCCTCCCGCTCCCGGACCCTCTCCTTTTGCTTTCGTGACTCCGCTCACCTTTCCCCCCTTCCGTCCCGCTCCTTCCTCCCGCCGCCCTCTTGCCCGGCCCCTCCCTGCTGCCCCCCTCCTCCCCAATTTCTCTCCCTTCACCCGGCCGCGCGGGGCGGGAGGGGCGAGGAGGGCAGGCCTGTTCCAGAAAGTCTCGTCACGTGCTCCTCCCCACGAGCCTCTCTCCAGCCCTGCTCGCCTCACGCCCGCCGCCAACTTCGCCCCCTCGCCCGCGTCTCCCCGGGGGAAGCGCCCCGGCCTCCCGCTCTCCTTCCCGCCCGAGCGGGTGGGCGGCGCGTCTCCGCCCTGGGCCCGCCCCGCTTGCGCGTGACGCGGAGGCCGCGAGGCTGCCGCCCGCCGCCCTTGCTGCGTGTGTAGGCTCTGGGCTGCGTGTGCGCGTGTGTCCACGCGAGCGAGGGAGCGAGGAGAAGGCGCGCGGGCGCGGAGGCGGCATCCTCCTCCTCCTCCTCCTCCTGCTGCTGCTGCTCCTCGTCTCCCCTCGGCCGGAGTCCCCTGTCAGGCGGAAGGCGAGGCGAGGCGGGCGCCGGGGCCCGCCGCGGGGCATGGAGAGCCTGCTGGAGAACCCGGTGCGCGCCGTGCTCTACCTGAAGGAGCTCACCGCCATCGTGCAGAACCAGCAGAGCCTCATCCACACGCAGCGCCAGCGCATCGACGAGCTGGAGAGGCGCCTGGACGAGCTCAGCACCGAGAACCGCAGCCTCCGCCAGCAGCACGCGCTGCCCGACGAGCCCACGCAGCAGCAGCAGCAGCAGCAGCCCAGGCTCCCCGCTCCGCCGCCGGCTTGCCCACCGGGTCCTCCCCAGGGCCAGCAGCAGCAGCAGCAGCAGCCTTCGCCGCCCCTGCCGCCGCCGCCGCCGCCGCCGGAGCAGCCTCGGCAGGAGCAGCTTCAGCACCCGCAACAGCTCCCGGCGCCTCCGCAGCCTCCCGGCAGCAGCGGCAGCAGCAGCAGCAAGCAAGCTCAGGCCAGCCCCAGCGGCAGCCGGACGCCCGCCCCCCACCAGCACCCTCCGCTCCACCACCACCACCACCCCGAGAAGGACGGCAGGGAGAAGAGCTGTTGCGCGGTCCTGCTCCAGCACAAACCACCCCCGGCCATCGCCAAAGGCGTCTTGAGCAGGAGACCAGAGTAAGTCAGGAAGGGGAGGGGAAAGGGGAGGGAGGCGAGGAGAAAAGAGGGGGCTTTGGGTCGCCAAGAGCCCCCCCCCTCCCCAAAGATGAGAAATTCATTTATTTGGAGCCTTCATACACCCCGCTTAACGCTGCCGTCTCCATCGGTGTGCAATCCGGTTCAAAAGACGGCAGCAAGATGGTCCTAGGAGCAAGGATCTTGCCCCGCATACTGCCGCTGCAATCTGACGGAGTGGGCGGGTGGGGAAATCCCTTCCCCGGTGTATTTCCAATTTCCATAGGATGCCAGAGAAACGAAATGCTGCCTCGGCAAGGGGCGTTCGGCAACCTGCTTCCGAGCTTCCTTTCTGCTATGCGTGATGATATATCGTCAGAAGAAGTTTACATTTTTGAAAACACAAGCCACTCTCCCCCTCCCCCCTTTTTGTTGCAAAGCATGCCTTGGTTGTTTTCTGCCGGTTGTAAATATGTTTGCGATAGCCAAAGCAGGAAAGAAGGATTTCCTAGGAAGGCAGAGGCTGGTATCAGATTTTGCTCAATTGTTTGGGCAGTGCAGCTGCTTTACAGAACAAAAATTTCCAAACCGTAATAGCTCCTATTACACAACTAGGATTTCCCCTTTCATTAAAGATGCAGTAGGAAAACATTGCAGATACCTTTTCCTATTGACACAAACCCTTCATATATTTGTGATTCAGATTTCTTTACCTGTGGGTTTTTATAGTGTTTTTGGGTGACTCTCGGTTTCTGAAGTGGCAAAGAATTGTTTTAAGGGGTTTTCTTTATCAGCAAAGGAAGCCTGGTTGTGTGTTTGTGTACTGTGTGAATCTTATATATGCATATGTGTTATTCAAGTGCTCAAATTTTGCTGCAATGAAGGTTCTAAAGTGGTATAGAAGAATTATGTTTTTCCCCGGGTTATGCATAGACTGAATTGTAATTGCCTAGTACCTTTGCAAATGCATCTAGCTTAGAGATATCTCACCTTTCTCTCCAAGGTCTTTTCAGTCGACAGATTCCATTAACCTCTTTGCATACATGTGGATGATAGAAGCCAGAGCTGCTATGGTACAGGGGAGAGATAAGAATAAAAATTCACTTGCAGGTACTTCAAGAATGTAGAAGTAAAGCTGCGTTTTTAAATTCAAACCTTGACCTTTGACTTTAATGGCACTGAGGCCCATGAACAACATTTCATTTATAGTTTCAGGAGTGGGTTTCTTGCTTCCTTCTACCCTCTCCTATTTGTCGTAAGTGGAGAATCTTTTCTGATCTTCATTTGTATATAGGATATTTTCTGTAAATATGGGACTAGCAGCAGAACTGTGAAATCTTTCATTGTTTGGAGAGGTGGCCCATTTCTCTCTGAATGAGGCTGGTCAGAGAAAAGAACACATAATGCTAGTCATCTTTCCCTCAATGTGCAAAATGAATATTTCTCCAAACTATAGCTAGCCCTTTGCTATGAGTGGCTTGTAATCAAAAGTCAACATCTTGTTTATTGACTAATAGTAGTATGTGTTTTGCAGGTATGTGTTTTGCCAGGAGGTAAATAAATTGCAGAATCGGGCCCATATTCCCTCCAAATGAAGCTGCAAAGTCTCTTCTGCTGCAAATTCCACGTATTGAAATGCAATTCAAACGGCGCTACTATATCAGTGTAAAAATGATTGTGTTAGAGAGGAATCTCAGAAATCTATTAAAAAAACCCAAAACCTAGTGGGTTTTATGCAGTGAAGCCAGTGTTACAAATGTAGTATTGGCAAGATTTCCCTTTCATCTCCTCCTAATTTCTCACATATGTCACTAAGCAGAATGATGAGTCGGTTTCAATGCATGGTTCTGAATAGCTCTTTCCTGGGATACGAATCTTATTTATTGCAAACAGGGAAGAAGGGGATGGGACTATACCTGGTTAGTTCTTATCCAAATGCCCAGGTAGGAAGGTCTTCAGGACTCTGGCACTCATTGTTGAAAGGAGACAGCAGAGCAACCCCTGGTGCCCTCTCTACTCACTGTAATTAAGATAGCCTTCTGTTTTATTCTATAGCTTAGCCAGAGAAAAAGTTTGAGTGAAGATGCAAAGTGCAACATGTTTAGGAGAGTTGTCTTAAACACCCCTTATACATAACAAGAACTTCCTCTTGAAATATCTTTTACTGCTTTTGACTACTGTGTTGAATATTCCCCAAGTACCTACAAGGCAATACCAGGGTCTTTTTATGCAGTAAATTTTGGGTGGGTAGGTGGTGGTGACAGGAAATATGGGTTATTGAAAGTACCCTATGTTCAAAACCATGTGTGAGCAAAGCTATCTCTACCACCCTTTGTCTATAATATTCTAGTATTTTCACAGTTGTAATTTGAACCCTAAATGCTGTAGTAGCTGCTTTTGGAACTGCTTCTTTCGTCTGATCCGGGACTCCAGTTGCTTGACTGGAATGATAATTGGGGTAGAAAATGGCCACTCTCTAAGCAGTACTCACATGAGATTCCTTAATATGTAACTATCATGTATGGGTAGAAGAGGCTTGAATTGATTCCCTCCCCACATCACCTGAAAAGGCTGAATAATGATATTGTAGTGCCTTGCAAATGCATTATGTTTTGGAAACAAAACTGCAGACAGCTCATTCTGCTGCATGTATATGTATGCCCTCTCATCTTCAAGGACCACTCAAAGGCCTTGTTTTATTATGATATCATTACTGTGATATCATTTGGGAACCAGTCTGCTTTGAAGACACTGTAGTCATGTGTTAGAAGAGCTCACTGTGCAAAGCACAGAATGGAAAGGGGGTTGCTCTGGACTTCATAAAATCCAGATTGAACACGTTTGCTGTGCTACTAAGTTCCCGTGCTTAGTCCTTCTATTATCTTCAGCTAAAGATGTCATAAAAGGGATGTGGGTGGCGCTGTGGTCTAAATCACTGAGCCTAGGGCTTGCCAATCGGAAGGTCAGCGGTTCGAATCCCAGCAACGGGGTGAGCTCCCATTGCCCGGTCCCTGCTCCTGCCAACCTAGAAGTTCGGAAGCACATAAAAGTGCAAGTAGATAAATAGGTACTGCTCTGGTGGGAAGGTAAATGGCGTTTCCGTGCGCTGCTCTGGTTTCGCCAGAAGCGGCTTAGTCATGCTGGCCACATGACCCGGAAAAGCTGTCTGCGGACAAACATTGGCTCCCTTAGCCAGTAAAGGAAGATGAGCGTCGCAACCCGAGAGTTGTTTGCAACTGGACTTAACTGTTAGGGGTCCTTTACCTTTTTAAAGTTCTCATGTATCATGGTTGGGAATGCATATTGTGAAGAGAGCACTTTGGGGTGGATTTTACTTAGGGGATGATCCACTGGGGAGTTTTCCTGCATGCCCTTGCACACTTCCTGGTGTGGTGCTGGCATTGTGTAGTTTCATCATGTCCCCTCCTGTTCTTATGACCTTGGAAGTGAAGCAGTCACACAGGAAACTGGTTTGATGCCGTAACTTCCTGTGCCAACAGTGTTGGCATGGTAGGTCTACAGTCACCTGGAGGCAATGGTTTTCCTTTTACAGGTACTGGAGGTGTATGAGGAGGAGCTGTGCTGCAGTCCCCATCCCCCCGTCATTCTAGATAGATATGTAAAGGGCCTATTGGCTTCCATCCTGGTCTCAGGGTGTGCTCTGAAGGCACATGAGGCCACCACGTTGATGAAACTAGTTATATTTTGTTGTGGCTAGTTTTTGGATGGGTGACCACCTAAGAACACCACGTATGCATTGGAGGAAAGATTGGATAGCAGAGTAACAAAATAGACAGGTAAAATGGTGAAGGAGAATTTCACTACAAAGAACTATACTCCACAAAGCACTTAAACAAAGTTACCTTTTGAATAGTTCTCCATCTCTGTCTTGCTCATACTTGGTTATCAGTAAGTCCCATTGATTTCAGTGGCATTTGCTTTCAAATACGTCCTGTTCTGAGGATGACAGCTTATCAAACTCAGCTCTGTCTGCTGGTCTGTGGCACCGGTGTGTTGCATTGCCAGTACAATGCTGTGTTTTGTGAACTTACTCTGGTGTAGCTCTTGGCATTCCTCATCCTAAGCACTTGATGCACTACTGGTGAGTCTTAGCATCAGGGTGCTATCTGGAGGCTTCTGTGAAATGAAACTAGCTTAAATTCTGATTTTAAAAGTGCCCTGTCTTTCTTGAACTCAATGTACTTTTTGTACTTATATGTATAAGTTAATCATTTTATATAAACAGTATCAGAGCTGTAATGAAAGAGCATTACAAGCAGAAATAAAGAGCCAGCTAAAAATCTCGGTCTTTTGGGTGTAATAGCAAGGCATGTTTGAACAAGTATACAGGAACACCTTCACTACTCTGTAGGATTAATTTTTAAAGAGAAATAAGGACTGGAACTGATGAGGTTCCCCAAGGAGGTAATTCAAGATAACTGGAACTACCAGTTAGGTCTTTTTCTCAACCTTGCTGATGATACTTTGTGAGTGAGGTTACCTAATGGGGATAAGGATTCTTTCATTCATGTTGAACCCACGCCATTTGTGTATCCATGTTTGTGGCTCAGGATGCCTACTCACATTCTGAGTTTTGTGACATCGGCTCATCTTCTTTCCTATAATTCTATGTGTTCCCTACTCCAGTAACTCTAAATAGCATCTGTTATACTGGAGATGGTTCAAAGTTCTCCCCAACAGGGTCTCACTTAGCTCACTTAGAGCAGTGTTTCCCAAACTTGGGTCTCCAGCTATTTTTGGACTACATTTCCCATTGTACTTGCTAGCTAGGGATGATGGGAGTAGTGGTCCAAAAACTTCTGGAGACCCAAGTTTGGAAAACACTTGAGTTAGACGCTTGTAGTTACCCATGAGCTAAATCAGAGATAGGGAACCTATGGATCTCCAGGCGTTGCTGAGCACCAACTGCAATCAGCCCGAGCCATGGTCAGGAATGATGGGAGTTGTAGTCCAGCAACATCTGGAGAGCCGCAGGCTTCTAAATACAAAAGTTCCATCTTGATAGAGCAAGCAAAAGGTAAAATGTAAAGTGTTCATGAATCTTGAGAAGGTGTACTTTGTGTCCCCAGCCTGAGGGCAACAGCTGAGAGAGGAAACTCGGGAAGCTAGCTACTTGCCCATCTAGCCCAGTTTTGCTTTTCCCTCTAATTAGCATGGTTCTCTAGGGTCTCTGATGGAGAAATGGCTTTCTTATCACCTGCTATCCGAGCAATGGAGATGTCAGGGTTGAACCAGAGCTTCGGACAAGACAGGATAAAAGTAGAGTCATATATACTTAGAGTGGGTACTATTTACCTCCAGGAAGGACTATAGTTCATTGCTAGAACATCTGCTTTGTATGCAGAATGCTGTAGGTTCAATCCCTGGCATCTCTTGGTAGGGCTGTGAGAAACCCATCTGAAATCCTGGAAGGTGTCAGTGTAGACCGGACTGAGCTGGACAGACCAGTGTCCTGACTCAGTACAAGACAGCTTCCTATGTTCTTCCACTAAGCCTTTAACCCCCGAATCCCCATCCGCTAGCTGAAAGAAAGCCTAACTGCATTTTTCTGTGCATTCATCCCCTCTTACCCTTTCTTCTTTCTGCCATCTCTTCCTCCATTTGTAGAGATGCAGATTTTAAATGCCTTGTAGGTGATAGGATTTGTTTCATTTATGTTGTGCTGTGAAGCATTGTGTGGATTGGTGGTGCTGTGTTCATAATGCTTTTCCCTTGTAAATGTTCCTTAAAAGGAATTGTAGGCAAAAGCCACCAAAACACACATACAAATTCACAAAACTGTACACTATAGTTCTAATAACAGTGAGTATTATTTATCTGGCAAGAAAGAGATCACTTATGCAGAGAACTGTTAATTGCTGCTATGCATAAAAGGTGGTTGAGGCCTAATGCGGATCTTTCCTGCAGAACGAGAGGTGGAGGAATAGATGGGAGGGGGGTGCATGTGTTGATTTTACTGCGGGAATGAGGCTGGTTGCTCCATTTCATCCCTCTTTTCTGTCTAAGAACCTCTTGCATGAGTGCTGCTCTTAAATCTTTAGAGGCCAACCATTTCCCTCACCCAAATGCAGAAAAATTAAATTAAATTAAAAATAAGGTAATCTATTCTGGAATGTTTGGCATCTCCCCCTCTCCTACCCCCAGAAAAGCATGTCAGATTAGTATCCGACAGAAGCAGGCAAGAAAGCTACCTTGATCAGACAATTTCCTGTTGTAAGACTCAGCTTCAAATTACTCCCAGATGCATGGAGCATAATTTCTGCCCCCGCACCATTTTTCAGAACACTAGGCAACCATCCCCTTTTTTGCTGTTCCCTCAAGACCCTTTTTATGATTGAATTACAGCAAGGGAAGAATTACACACCTTAACCTAGATGGTCTCACATCCTGCTGCCTTCCTATCTTGACAGAATTCTCTCGGTGGGCTCACTTGCATAATCAGAAGCCCAAAACAGGCATTCCTGGGCACACAGACAACTTGGTTGCGAGTCTGAACCATTTGTGTGTGGCGGGGGGGGGGGGGGAGAGGCAGGAATTAGAATCCAATAACTTACAATGTTTGGGGGCTTTTTTTGTCGCTGACCTGTAAAAAGCAGACATTAAAGTGTTTCATGGCTTCATGCTCAACACAAATAAACATTGTTAGTCTGAATTATTTAAAGTAACTGTCATCAAGTCCAAATTATTGACGATGCAGAATACTGACTGCTGGGCCACTTGAGTGACACAGATTGTGCCACCTTGCTTGCATCAAAGAGGTCAGTGTTGCAGGCAAAAGGACCAGTGTAAATAAGAATGTCAGGCGAGCCTGGCTACTGGGTTAGCTTTTCTTGTCCAGCATCCTCTGCCCCACAATGGCCAACTGGTCAAGTCATACACAGGCAGGACAAGAACACAATAGTAATAAAGAGCATTTATACAGCTGTTGAGTGTGTGTGTATACCACCCTTATAGCGAAAGTAAGTGTTATTGTTATAATGCAGATGTGAGGATGTGGCACAACTAAGGTTTGGTAACTTCAAGTCAGGGTTTTGGGGTAGAGGGTAGAGTTTTCAGTGTGTGCGCATAGGAGAGAAAGGGAGTCAAGATCGCAGCATGGTTCAAAGGCTTGCTCTTAAATATATTCAAGGCAATTACGAATAGAGAGTGCCAGTGTGCAATGTTTGTTGTTGTTACATCATAATAATCAGCTATGGGTGTTTCTGAATAATAATATGTGGTCTGAAATGTGAAGTAGAGTGGGGTTTTTTTGGGGGGGGGAGGGAAGCCTTCCAATAATGAACTCATGTGGCAAATTCTGGCAGAAATGGAGTCAAGCTGTGGTTAGTGTGGAGCAAGGTATTGGCATATTTGGGGAATCCTAATGTTTTGTGAAAGTACAGAGAATATATATGTCTAAGGGGGCACAAACCAATCCTTTGAGAATTGAACATGTTGGCTTTCTGTTAGAAAAGCCTGCTTAGCTTAAGTAAAGTAACTTCATCAGCTGCCTTAAGATGAGGGGTAGCTAACCTGTGGTCCTCCAAACATTGTGGGACTGCAGTTTCCATCACCACTGACCACACTGCCTGGGGTTGATGGGAGTTCGCGTCCAACAAAATCTGGAGGTCCACATGGTTGCTACCTCTTCTTAACACCATGCCCTGAGAGCTTAGGGATTGGATAATGTGTGCTATCCTGTACATGTTTACTCAGAAGTAACTCAGAAGTTAAGTAAGCATTGCTTCCATGTAGGGGTACATAAACTTGCAGCCCTAACTTTTAGTTGAATCCCCTGCACGTTGATTTGGAAATAAATCCTAATGCAATTCACTTCAACTTACAAGGCCCATAGATGTCTAAACTAACTTTCTCGCTAGATTTCAGTAGATCTATGGCTTAAAGCATGGTTGCCATGTTGGCCCTCAAGGAAAAGAAACATGAAATAGCTGAGAACTTTTTCCTTGCCTCATCAAGAGGTCTGTGTTCTTCAAACACTTGCATCCTCCTTGTATCTGAATAAATTCTGCGTTGCCAGGAACGAAACCTGATTCTGATGAATCAAAGATGGGTTCGTGCAACAGAAGTGATTAGTCATATGGTATAAACCCAATCTAGTGCTCGGTCCACCCCCCCAGTTTCTTAGGGATGCGCCACCCTTGAACTCTGCTGTATTTGCCTTCATTTCTGTTCCCCATAGGTATTCTTTGTGAAGGGAGAAGCCAACAAACCAAGCTCAGCTACTCTATGTGTCCAACCATACTTTCCCAAGCATTAGAACTTCACCCTTTCTTTGTCACCCATCTTTCTGCTCAAAACCACCCCAACAATTTCTCACTTGGGCTCTAGGTGTATAATTACTTTTATAGACACAGATATGGAACCCCCTCTCCCTCCCTCTCTCTCCCCCTCCCTTCCTGTGTGTCTTTGTGCAAAGGAATGCAGAAAATGGCTAGTGGGGCAAGGAATAATCGTTGCCTTCCAAGGCTGTTTCTTATTTTTTAAAATAGTTGGGATTTTCATTACGCGCATTATGTGTGTAACATGCAGTTTGCCCTCCAGCACTGGGTTACATTGCATCTTACGTAGGTCTTACGTAGGTCTGTTCACAAGATGTGAACAAAAAGATAAATATGAGAACCATTTGGGGTTTTTTTTTTTGGTTTTGTTTTGCTAAGAGTTGAGGCCATTATGTTCTTTTTTTTCTTTAGTTCAATAAACACAATTATGTAAGTTTCAAACAGAAATTGCATTTGCAGGAGGTGCTGTTCTCCATTTGGGGGGGAAAGCAGGCTATGCATTAGTTCTTTATATAATGGATTTTCTCTGCGATAAAGTCGTTACACAACCCCAAACAGCTACTTACTTTAGCACTAAAATTAGAGTAAATATTATGAGCCATTACTCGCGTTAAAATAATTCTAGCTATATTTGTTCATTGCCCCAGTAAAATGAATATAATTGAGTAATGATCCTGCATTCTCAGAATCTTGAGTGATTGGATTTAAAGAGGGGCAAGGGTTGAACACAGCTGGAATAAGAAACGCAGGACTGACTGTCTTCCATGCCAATGTCTTGTTCTCAGATTCAGCCATGATGCTTTGAGGCTTTATCTTCTGTCATCATCCAAGGATGTCACCCTGAAAATTATGGCAGCAAATCAAGTTATGAAGTGCACATATTTATCTGCATTCTGGATTTGTTTGCAGTGCTGATGCACCTCCTCTGTGATTCTGTCATGCCTCCCAAAAAATTGAAACAGTATCCTTCCAGCTGAATGCCCAGGCTCAACCAGCGACACAGTGTTAAAAGAGATTTAGAGTTCAGGACAGAAGAGTTGACACAGAACAGATTCAGTACCATGGACAGCTACTAAGCTATCAGCCTGTTTGAAACAGAGTTGTGTCCCAATGTCCTCTTGAATAATGTTCACCCTATTTGTGGGCAGAGAAATTGTGGGGTGGGAACCATTTTACTGAATTTCTGTAGGGAGAAGAAAAAATTGCAGGCTGTTTCTTGAGGGGGAGATGGTGGTATCACAGGTTTCTTCTTCTTCTCCGAATGGTAGTTCCGCCCACTTTTGCCACTGAAAGTTGAGCAGATGTGTTGACGGCTTAGGCACTGTTTTGTATTCCCAGCAGTACTCCAATACTTGCATTATGATGGGATGTTGTGAGGGAAGGGAATGGCAGGTACCACACAAAAATTCTGCAAAAGTTGCCTTTTCCTAAGGGGTTAGAAAGAAGAAAATATTTGGCTCATCTGTAGTTTAAAATGTATTGAACATGTATATGCATCAAGAAATGGAGGTGTTACAGCAGTGATGTACAAGCCAAATATCCACAGCTTTTGCTGTAATGATTAAAGGACACTCCACTACTAACAGGTTTAATGGTGCAGGCCCAGTTATTACTCCTGATCTCAGGCAGGTGAGTCAAGGACCTTTGAGATTTCATCCACACTGTGTGGTGGACCTTTGAACAAGACAGCACTGCAGTGGGATAATAATAATAATAATAATAATAATAATAATAATAATAATAATTTTATTATTTATATGCCACCCATCTGACTGGGTTGCCCCAGCTACTCTGGGTGGCTTCCAACAAAATATTAATAGACAAAGAACCTCAAACATTAAAAAAATCTGTACAGGGCTGCATTCATATGTCTTCTAAAAGTCAGATAGATGTTTATTTCCTTGGGAGGTCATTGCACAGGGCAGGCACCACTACTGAGAAGGCCCTCTGCCTGGTTCCCTTTAACCTCACTTCTTGCAATGAGGGTACCATCAGAAGGCCCTCGGATGAAACCATGGAAAAACAGATCCCACATCAATTCTTCAGTATGTAAAGAAGACTATAAAAAGTGAAACAAATATTTGCAAATGCTCAGCATTCACCAACATTTCCAGTTTTGCCACTCATCTCTTGAAAGTGAAATTCAGACTTCAGAATTTGGATTTTAAATACAAACTTCTAACCTCAAAATGTGAAACTCAAGTCATTGCCATCTCTTGATAGCTTTAGCAGGCATCAAATTAGTCACCTGACTAATACCATTGCATGTCATCCATCAGATGCTAAAACAATTGCATGAAAAATATAAATGGGTGTCAGCCATTAAATGGTGTCAAATACACATTACATATCAACTGCCAAATAGCAATTGTCATTCATTCATTGAATATTCAAGTCAAATGTCATGGTGTGTCAAATATTTGGGAAATATTAAGCAAATATGCAAGTATATTCATGATCAAAAATTGCAGCTGGAAATTTCGAGCAGCAAATTAAAGTCCTTCACCAAAGGAACTGTTTTGAATTCTGCCTTTTAATAGACATTCTGTCATTTAAGAGATATTAATAGTTATTTCAAAACATTTATTGCAAATAGGAGTCTGCAGAACTTGTACTACATGTGGGTGATGGATGCATGCTGCCTATTTATAAGTCCAGGGTACAATAGAACCCCATTCTATAGAACTCCTTGACGGTTAACTGGGTTGGTTCCAATTCAGGATGGCATTGTGATCATTGTGAACTGCCCTATTTATTAAATCATCTGAGTCAGTTGTTCATGTGGGCAAGCA